CCAAAAACCAAAAACCAAAAACCAAAAACCAAAAACCAAAAACCAAAAACCAAAAACCAAAAACCAAAAACCAAAAACCAAAAACCAAAAACCAAGCAGGACCAAAGTCAAACGAAAAAACCCTTCCTTCTGAAAGCCTCCATGTTTTATACTGAATAAGATGAGTTGTTATTGGTCGAGAAGCTAATTGAAGATGATGTCATATGGAAACAGTGGTGTAATGATAGACCAATGGGGGAGGGAGAACAATCAAAGTCAGAAGTGTAGAACACAACAACAAAAACACACATAGACCACACACTGGGACGTAACAATTGATTTAATAAAGATGATACTTTTATGTCTTGATGAGAACATTTCACTGTGATTTAAATGTCTAAATTTCTGATAGAGGTGGCATGGCGATGGGTGGCTTGAACTCTGGACTCATAGCTCCGGGGTACTGGTTTCACATCGAGCTCCAGATTTCTGTCCACGTAGTGTCTGTTCCTTTTCTCTTTATTTGTGTGGAGTTGTGTGTGGAATTCTAGTTTGCTTAATGTAATCTAGGTTTAATTGGTTATTATCCCTTTCTTTGTTATTCTCTAATTCTGGATTGCTCAGGGGGAGTGTAGCTGTGTGCTCTCAGTTCCACCTGGTGCCCCATTATTGCAGAATACACTCTGTTTTGCCAGGGCTTTTACCAGGATACTGCAAATTGGCATTGCAAAATCCAAGAAACAGTGACATTAATGTTTTTAAAACGGGCGGGGTGCAGCAAATCTAAATTTATAGGAAGAGGATTAAAAAAAGATGAAGTAAACAATCAAGCACACCAAAACACTTTTCACGTTACAGCAATTCCAACTCTATCCCACTCCAAAACAGTGACTTAACTGTTTCCGTTATTATTGTCACACTTTAGGTATACACTATATAAACTGTAAATATTTCACACCAGTCTGTAAATGAAGTAAAGGAAATGCTCTGTACCATTAATCGCATTACTAAGATGGCCTAGGATGTGCTGAATTGTCTCCTCTCCTCTTACGTCTAAGGGCAGGGCGTCATTCTTGTCCTCCCCAAGATTCCACTTCAAAGAGTCAGTGATGTCCATCACCGCTGAAGCAGCCTCTATTAAAGCATGTTGTGCAGATTCTACTGAGGGGTCAGTTACAATTGTGGGGATGGTCAGTCTCAGCCTCAGGGTGAACCTTTTCAACAGAGTTAGTGACAAACAAGGCACTGAGTGTAAAAGGCATCACTCCTGAAAAGAACAGTGCAGAACAACACTATGGGAGCACTGCAGAAATAATGCTTTTGATTTATATGTTAATTTGCATTACAAAAGAAACAATTTCAGCTCAAAATACACTTAGGGTCTAAAAAGATTCAGTACTATTCACATTCCTGTCAGAGTTTACTATACACTGTACTACAAACGTGTATGGGGTTGATATAGGTAGTAGTTGAAGTTAAGATGGTAATACATTAGGTTTAATTAAAATAAAAAGAACATTTTTTATAAAAAAACATTCTGCTTTTGGGCTAGGTTTCAGTACGCATAAAAGAGCATATCACTCTTTTACCATCATATTACTCAGATGTTAGATCTCTGCCCACATAAATTAAGACACCGGTGGCTCACAGCTGGAACCTTTTCCCTGAAATACCTTGTAAACTAACCTCAGAGAGTCTGGAAAAACTGTGTTTGTTAGATTTTCAGTTCTGGTGCTTAGAGAGACATTTGAGCTGTTGTAGATTGGACAACCCTCTTCTTGGTGACAGAGATGCTTCTCTGCTAATCTGTCCAGGTCACAGCCAGAAACCCGAGCCAATATCAGCAAAGAATGGCAGATACAGCACAGTATAGCCTTGCAGGTCTGGTCACGGAAATATTCTATTGGAAAAGAGACATGGAAGATAAGATCACTTTATTGGCTATATACAATTTCTTGCATTAGGAATTTGTCTTTTCGCTTATCCCAGCTTGCTCTCCATGAGACACACAGACACACAGACAGGGAGAGAGAAGCTTGGGGTCAGAGCGCCCCTGGAGCAGTTGGGGTTAAGGGCCTTGCTCAGGGGCCCAACGGAATAGGATTCCTCTGCCGGCTGCGGGATTTAAGCCGACAACCTTCCAGCCACAGGTGCAGATCCTGAGCCACAGAGTCACCGCTCTGCTGCGAGGGGGCAGGTTATAACATTGAGAGAATTACTGAGATAAAAGCCGTGATTTCCTAAGAACATGAAACCCGCCACTCTCCAAGGCAATCTAATAAGTCTTCAACAAGCTGATTAAAACTAAATGCAGAGCTCATATTACTTTGGTCGAGGGAGTCAGAAATATGCAGTAAGAGTCATTAGTAGAAGACAAGTGAAGGGCTCTTCATGTTAATCCACAGCCTTTTATTTTGCGTGACACTGCGTGCATGATGATACCTGACTATAGCCAAGTAAACTGGAAGTCTTTCAGAAACGTATATGAAGATTCTGGTAATAAAACAAAAGGTAAATTAATGCATACCAGAAACCGGTCTGCTGCTGTCATCGCTGTTATGATGACTAGAGGAAGATGAGGCTGTACAAGCAGTCTGGTTTCCTTTGGGCAGTGTCTGATGAGACGCAGCCTGCTTAGGGTTAGAAGTGAGATGGTTGTACTAACAAAGTTTCAGAGGTCAACATCAATATTGTTTGGTGCTTTCAATATAAAGTGTTGTTTTTGTATTTCCCTATCTTAGACCTGGATGACTAATGAAAAATGCATACACACATAGCTTGTTCCTCACCTATCAAAGTCAAAAATTTATTTTACCTGGTGCTTCAGTAGAAAATCTAGGGGCATGTAATCAAAACATATACAGTAGGTAAGTCTCATAAACTCAGAAAAATGTCTAATAGCAAGGTGGATTGATTCGTGAAAGAACTCAAGGATTAAATGTGACTTTCATGACTACACGATAAACATATGGTGATTTCTAATGCTATTTGCCCCATATTAATAAATGGCGTCAATGCAATATGAAGTTTGGAGGATCTCATTATGTTTTCTCAATCATCATCCTCCATGCAGCCCCCAAAGGCTCTGAACTGTGCAGTGGTCTTGTGACATGGACTGCCTTTCCTGCGGAGTACGTTAATACAAGGAAAACCGGGATCCCAAGCCAGTTTTGCAAACAAGTGGCCGTAGCTGATATGGTACAGTATTACCATAGCAACTTAACACTGCAGTTTTAAATGAAGCTGCAGTTTCTTTTTGACGAAGTGTAATATTTTATCTGTCATGTGACCCAATCCTAAAAGCATCTGTAAGATTGCTGATAGAGTACCAAAATATGTCATAGTTTTTATGAGTTGCAAGTGCCAGAGATGTCGTAAAGCCGACAGGTAACCAGTTAGGGAGTTCTCTGAGCTTTTCCATTCTGATGAGAGGGTTTCCTTCTCTCTCTTGCTGAAGCTTCTCACCTTACTGACCTTCAGAACAGCTCTGATGTCTGAAATGGCTGTTTGTATGGTTTTAACCTTTTCTTCCAATTCTACCTGTTTCATTTTTAGAGATGATGTTAAGATGTGTAAAAATTCTTGTGGGCTCTGAAAGATACAATTGAGAAAATGTACAAGCAATAAAACATGTTTTCACTTAAAATCAGATCAATTTTGTCTGTTTGAGACACTATGTGCAATATACACTATGTGTATATTAATTTCTGGTTTATCAGTATTGTTAATTTTACTGATATATATGTATTGGATATAAATAATTGTTTTACATTTTCAATGTTTTTTACCATTTATTGCTAATATTATGTTACAAAATGTATGGATTCAGCTAGGTATTGCAGGTAGAAACAAAAACCACTATGTTGTAATAATTAATAATGCATTGGGCCTTAATCAGTACAGTAGGTTGAAATATGCTTAAAGTAAGGATTTCCAGTGATTCACATTTCTGAGTCTACAGAATATATTGTGGCTTGCAGACTAACCACATAACCTATTATTATAAACCCTAGGAGTGCTACCAAATCCATTAAGCATGAAAACAATTTATTTGTATCCTCAGAAGATACCAAGAGTAATGCATTTCCTGAAGGGAAATTCTTTCCTTTCAATGCTCTTTAGACATTGAAAATACAATGGAAAACAGAAATATCAATTTCTACAAAAATGAATGCATGTAAGCTTTTTATATCTTCACCGAAAGACAGAGCTTGGATGTTGATTTACCTTTGACTCAAAGAGGATCTCATCAGCATTGAAAAGCACCAGTTTCTGGATATCTGAAAGAGTTTTGTCTATAACAGCTGCTTTCATTTCGGATATTTTCTCCACTACAATTTTCAACCTTAGCATAAAACAACAACAAAAAGAAACAAAATAAAAGTTTAAGCAGTTGCAAATCCATCTAAGTTAACTTATTGGAATTTATAGTAGTAATAATTCTACCATAGTTTTTTATCTAAGCAGACAACAGCAGGGTAGGCGTTTTATTAAACAAAAGTATGCAGGCTGAACATTTGAGAAACGTTTGGTATTTCAATGTGTGTATTCAATTTAGATTTTTATGGAAAACCCAAAGATGGTATCAAGGAAAGAAACCAACAATAGGTGGAAAAATAAAGCAAAGGGAACATAACTTGCAATGACCAAAGAAAATTCATGTAGAATATAAAACAATGAAACAGTTCAACCTTCAAACTTAGCCAAAGACCCTTATATGACTTAATAGACCTAAACAGACTACATCTGTTTACATTCTGAGTCTCTACATCACTACAGTCTGAGTATATGAATCTAACGTACTCTACCTAGAGATGTCTGTGTGGACATTGTGAAGGAAGGCCTCTATGTCTATGCTGCTCCAGGTCAGAACAGACAGTCCTGGCTGCAGGTGACGACCCACAGTTTCAAGTGGAAAAGCAAACTGTGTAGTGAGGCATTCTGGGATTTCCTTCTTCACACTCTGAAGCTCTTGTAGAAGATCCTGCAGATTGCTCCTATATGTCTTAAACTTCCTCTCCTGTAACAGAAAAATAACTTTGGTGATTTTCTCACAACAATTCCTGTTGCTAACGCACGTGAAAAGTCCTTGCTCTGCATTTCAAGCACGCTCATTGTGTGAGGTAATTAAGATGATCACCTGTTTCAAAGACAACACAGCAGGCGGTGGAACCTCCATCCTAAACCGAATCATCCATTTTGTTTCTTCAAAAAGTTGAATGACCCTGATAATGGTAGAACAGAATAAAGACTTCATAATTCCCACATTTAAACACCTCTTGCCTTGTGTCAGTAACTTCACCTGATAATATTTTTGCTAGTTTTAAAAAATACTGTACTGCACTTCCATTAATCTATGATTTGCCTACTCAGTTTCCGCATTACCCGACATTTTCGATTATCCGACATACTATTGGTCCCATTTAGGTCGGATAATTGGGACTCCACTGTATGTAGAATATTTGAGATACACAGGCTATGCAGAATTGAGTGGCTTTGACAGATACATTGTAGACTCCACTTATTGTCTTTGTCTAGTTCTTGAAAGCCTTCTGCTCTTGGTGCCATGTGACACCTCGCATTACCTTTCATCACAGTTCACCATGAACTCCCCTGTGAGTGGATGGCGAACCAGCAGGGTAGCTTTCAGCCCAAGAAGACACCCGTCCACTTCAGATCTCCACTTCTGGTACCACAGGTGCTCAAAAGCCACCAGGGCTGCAGCGATCCTGTTGTACAGCTGGACAGCCTGGGAGTAGCTGTATGAGGAAGCAACGACTCTGACCCCCTTGAAGACCTGTCACAATAATAAAGAACGCTAATGAACTTTTCACTTCAACGCTTCTTCTCAAGGCATTCATGATATTTTAAGTCACACGTAGAAATCAAGTCCAGAAAGGTATAAAAGCAGTATTAAAAGATGACAAAATGCTGTCCGAAACGTACTTTCATAGGTCCGTCTATCCTGGAGAGAAGTTGCCTGGACCAATAAATTGCACCTGAGGCTGGGGGCATGTTTTTAGGTAAGACAGGGTCATCCTGAGGGGAAAAAGACAATAAGAATTCAATTCACAAGCAAATCAAGAGAATGCTGATTATGCATACTCATAAACTAAATGCTGTTCTTGGAAGAAGTGTGATGACAATATAAAATTCACCTTTTCACCATAGCCATGTATTTGGAAGAACATTATACCAATTCCTAATGTTTTATTTATTGCCTTGCCACCTATACTTGTAGGTAACTCATTCTTTTAAAAGCATGCGCCGTAATTTAGTACATTTAGACTTACAGTATATTTAAGGGCAGGACCTATAATTAGGCAGTGATCTTACAGTGTTTGAAGACAAGAACTATAGGACCTACAGTACCAACTAATGGTTGAGTAAATGACACCCCTTCATCAAACCATCGCTAGAAACAGGTGATGACCGGTACGACCATTACGGTAATACACAGTAGAAGAGTTTACATTGAAAACCTAAAAAACATCAACTAAAAATCAGAGAAATAAATAATACAAGTGCACCATTTAGGGATAAAATGATTGTAGACTACTACATTTTCAGCACATACTGTATAATCAAGAACAACATGTCCTGCTACTAAACTCACCTTGTATTTTTCATAAATCTCCTGTACGTCTTTAATTTCTTCATAAAACCAATCTAAGGCTTCAACATAGCATTCATTGATCATGGGCTGAATACCCTGACGCTGGCTGACCACTGAGAACCTGTAAGCAGCCATGCAAAGAATATTGCAGAAGTGAATAAAACTTGATTCAAGGATTTCATAGCACATGTTCAGTCCATGAGAGCAATACTGTATGTTCCAGCAATTGATGATATTCTCTTAGGAAAAGACATTCACAATAAACACTTCACAATAAACGTGTCTTTTTTCTGCCCAGAATGAGTAATGGTTACCTGTGTAGAACAGAGAGAGCCTCTCTGGTGTTCAGCTTCCTCAGAAAGAGAGCTTGTATGTAGACTGAGATATAGCTCTCCAGCTGCTGGTTCATCACCAGAAAGTCCGAGTAAGCTTCTTCAAATTGGTCTGTGTCTCTGAGGAGATAAAGAAAACAAAAGCCACGTCTGCCTAAAGGATTTGTAGGAGCTGTGACCCTTGGGTGGCATAAACAGGGAGAATGCCTTAGAAATGTAAGAACATGACTCAGACACACATACAGTGCCACGCAATGTGTACCTGTACAATTCATTCAGTTACCAACTAAAACATTTCAATGAGCTCATTAATAAGACAAATACATTTTTATTTATAATATTTCATTTCAAACAGGACCATGGAAGATATTTAAATGCAAGTTCCTACTTCTTCTCTACATCCAAGAGGACGCTCGTGCTGACTACAGAAGCCATGGTGTCGATCATGTTGTTCACACAGTCACCAATGACCGCTGACAGCGAGGCCCCCTCCTCGTCCAGATCTTCCCAGTTGTACAGGTTTCCTAAGACCACCGACATGACATGCAGTACAATGTACAATATAATAAAATGAAATAAGTCAGAATCGTTATTTTCACATATAAAAATGATTTCATGGCATTTTAAACAGTGAAGATGGCTTTACAGTTAAAAAATCAGTCTGTCCACATGTGAACACCTTAGCGTTCTAGCTACTGTAGCACCACTCATTTAACACCTTGTGAGAAGCAGTGAAAAACTTGCAATTCTAGCCGAAACAAGCACTGCCTGCCTTCAAAGTCCCAAACGATTCTCTCTTATACAGTTACTTTTCTCAAAACAGTCTTAACCCTCGCTCGAGAGATGGTCTTTTCATGGCTTACGAAGCATGTGTTTTTCCTCATTAGTCAGCCCATCTCCATTCTCTTCTTCTCCCTCCTGACATGTCGGCTGAAGAGGTTCTGAACTGCCTTCATTCTGGAGGGTTTTCAAGGACTGGAGTTCGGAGTGAGCCGAGGGCAGTCCACCACTCTAGATGAGAAAAGATCACACTTATTCTTGCAGTTCGTTAGTGAAACGTAGAAGGACAGACTTCAAGTATAGTTATAAGTACCTGAGCTTCATCTTCTTCAATAAGTGTTTGAAGATGGTAGGGTTCTGTGCCATGGGGTATGGTGTCGGTCTTCAATGTTTCTACAGCTGAAACAAAGATCCATAGAAAACCAAAAATTGCATAGAAACAGTCATATTGATATTGCTTTCTTCCCGTTGTGGTATGTGGTATTTATTATGTATTAAAGGATAGTTCATGATAACTTGAAAGATATTCTACTAAGAGAAAACTTCATATTGCAGCTGTTATCGATTATTCTTTAACTGGTTATCCAGTCTAAAGGCAACATTAAACCAGCAAGAGCCACACTGAGGAAACACTAGCACTAACCAGCAATGTATAGACACCATGTAACAACTTCAACAGTGAAACTACAGATTTTTCCTTCCGTTCTATGAAGGAAGTCACAGAAAAAGTGCAGTTTTCAATGAAAGATCTTCCTGTGAAATAAGGTCAGTGTTAATTATGTTTCCAGATATACTGTATATAATACAGTAGACGTACTGAAGTATATCATGTAGTATTAACAAAAAAAATCTTATTAAACATTAAACATGAACAGGACTGCATTAAATGTAATGTACTGTACTTTGAAATAAACAAACTGAACTAATGTGTACTGTACAGCACTGTTTCTGCAATACTGTGCTTTAAACACACAAGTATTGTTTTTAAGCATCTCATGCCTTATTTATAACATTTTTATACAATAAATCAAAACACTAAAATAACATATATAGTAAACAACACCATAAAACATTTTTATAACACTGTTTTCTAAACACGAGCTTTTTTTTGAATATTATACGTGTATATTCTCTATTTTTTTGTGTATATATTTTTTTTTTTTGTATAGTTTTTGTTTGATCAATGTGACAAATGCTTAACTTTCAATCTGTTTGTTCATCTTTCTAGAAGATTTTAATTTTCCACATTTCTTCTGTGATATTTCCTTTAGATAAAGATATAATCCATCAAAAATGATAAGTAATTACAGTTCACAGAGGAAGGTGAGTGTTTCTTCACAACCCTTTAAATATATATTTGTGCACACATTCGTGTCTGCTGGGAACTCAATAGGCCTATGTGTCCTGCAGAAAACACACGATTATCCTGGAGAACTCTGGGAGACACACTATTGGGGGAATAAGTGAACTGTGAACATTTTGAGTGAAAAGCTACAGTTACACACAAGAAGACGTAAGTGCACAGCAAATACAGTATGAATAAGCAAAGAGACACCTAATCATAATACAGACACACAAAGCTCATGGATTTACACATAATGTAGGTGTACCGAAGCTCTTACCGAGATACTCTTCCTTTGTTTGTGGGTCATCTGTCTGGTCATGAGTGCTCTCTCCATCAGTGTTGTCATTTATAAAGAGGTCTTCATGGCTTGGTTTCTGTAGCCCTTCAGTGCTCTCTGATAGCTCTTTATACTGGAGCAAAAACACACCCAAACTAATGCATCTGCACTCAGAATCAATTATATAAAAATACTAACACACAAGTGAATTGAATTTTAGATCTGAGACCTAGGAAAGCCTTCAGAAGCAAAAATGTTCTCACTCTAAGGCTATAAGTTTTAAAGCTGATAACATCATTTGTTTAAATTTAATCTGTCTTCTTCTGGATAAGAAAAGGGAAAGCTGTTGTTTAAAATGAAATAATAAAGCATTATCAAGGAAACAAAAAAAAAACAATGTTTCTATTATACAAAGATAGCATTTATATTTAATATAAAGAAAACATCAGGAACATTTTGGGATTTAAAAGACATGAGGTTTGTCGTTTGAAATAAAAGGTGGAAAGCAGTCGCGATTAAATGCAAATGAGAAAGCCCACCTGCTGAAGAGTGAGAATCACATTCGCAAACTGCCTCAGTTTACAGCAGAGGGTATCCATGTTGTGCATAATGGTCTCTTCATCTGTGAGCAATATCCCTGTCCCTTGGCAATCATGGCTGTGATCTAGGAAATAGGATTGGGGCTCTTGAGTTGCACTGCTCCTCTTTCTTGTCAATGGCAGACAATAACTCACATCATTAGCACAAATGTTCTTTCTGATGCACTTTGCAGTAGACCCGCTGTCATCAAAAATGTAAGAAATAACCATCTATCCATTTTCTCCCCGCTGTTTCTAGTACAGGGTCATGGGAGGGCTGGAGCCTATCCCGGGCAAAGAAATGGGTGCAAGACAGCATACACACTGGACAGGACGCCAGTCCATCATAGGGTGGACACAGCACAGACAACAATGCTCACACACACTCCCACCAGGACCAGTATTTCCCAGTACCCAATTAACTTACCGTCCCGGTTCTCAGTAATTCAACCTCGGCCCCTTTTAGAAGGCGTTCGTCTCGGTCAGCTATCTAACCACCCAGCGCCCCGGCTCACCACCACACCTTCACTCTCTGATTACTTCAGTGCGGCGAGCGTTTGCATCATTGCTCAGTATCTGGGTTCCAGCCGGCATTGAGCTCTACTCTCTCTTTTGTCAGCGCGTCTTCCTGGTTCGTGTACTTTTGGGTTTTTGGGCCTTGTTTTCGGGAAACGACTACGATTCTCGGTTTACGGCTTCGGCAGCTTTTTCCGGGACTTATAAGCTCTGGAATACTACTCTCTCTCCCTTGAACTCTGCATAGGATCCACCTCGTGTTTCCTCTGACCCCTAACACTTACCAGTATGTCTTAGTGCTAACCTACCATTAGGGCTGTGGGAGGATACTGGAGCAAGAAACCGCCAAGACAGGTTAATTGAATAAATTATAAAAAATCATTTATGGATGCAACAAAATGAACACAGATTAGAAAACAGAATAAGGTTCGCATACTATTCTTTTATCTTAAGCAGCAACAATTTAACAGGAGTTCTCCCTGTGGAAGCTGAAGTTTCTACTGCTGTATATTGGCCCAACAAACAGAGCCTGAGCTCACCATAACTGGATGTCACGGAGGCCTTGCGAACGCTGGATTTTGGAGCTCGGCCCACCGAGTAGGAGGTCAGTTTTCCCTGCATGGTTGACAGGGAGCTTGAAGAGGAAAACCGATGCATCCCATGAGCACCTCCCAGAGCATCTCGCAACTGACGCACTGCATCCAAGTAGAAGGCCTGTAGGGTCAGGCAAGCCTGAATCCTAAAGGGGAACATGAGCAAAATTATTCACACCTGCGTCCACTCCTTTCATGTATATATATATATTTATTATCAGCTAGGGACTACACATACTAACACGAAAAATTATAAACATCTTACAGCTTGAGTTTGTAGCCCCAGAGGCAATGAAATACAGACCAGAGGACATCAACTAGAACTACAACCATATGCATTGAGAACAGAGACCACGAGTCACTCTTTTAAGGAAGCGTGGATCTGTGACATAAGGGAACAAGCTACTCATCCAAGTTATTGAATCGGATGGCCAGATGGGTAGAATGGCCTCCTATCTTTATTGTGAGGCTACCGTAGCAAACTAACACTTGTCAACACCAACAATACACCAAAAGCAGATATCAATGATGATATAAACAATGTGTGACTCTTAATTCCTTCTAGTTGCTGTACAGGGATTCTTTTCAAAAGTACTACACCCATCCAAAATGCAGATCCCCAAATTAGAAAATACATATGCAGTGGATGTAATCATTAAATATGTATTTGGCCATTTTGTGGCAGTTGCAACCTTTACAGAAGGGCATGTTTATCTCCACCTTTCATAAAGAGTGTGTGTTTGCATTGACAGCTGCGGCTTCTTCTCTTTCCCCTTGTTCTTGTGAGGAAACCCAGGCTGCAGAGGACTTGAGCTTCCTTTCTCCATTTCTTCCTTTACTCTGTGCCAGAGTCTGTCGTCAGTCTCCTCTTTCACTATATCAGCCTTCAGGAACTCTCTGCAAGCCACTGTCAATTGGTTACACACCTACAAAAAAAACCCCAACATAATGTGTACTGGGAACACAATAGGTCTTGCTTTGACATTACTTTAGGAAACCAGTAAAGACACTTTCTTGGAAAACAGCTTGATCCCTGTTGTCCAGACTTCACTGGCTCTGGTCTGGGCTTTTTCCTTAGCTGGGATTTTCAAAAAAGCGTCTCAGCTCTTTAAGATGTTTAAAAACAAAAATGGTAACTACATGATACAAAACTAGATAAGTTTTATATTTGGTGGCAGATCTCATGCTGGAGCATGGCCCAAATTATTATAGAGAGACAAACCTTTGTGAGCAGGATGCCCAAGTATCCGTTTCGAGCGAAGGAGCGGGAAATGGCATCCATCTGTTTAATCCCAACAATCATTCCAGGCAGGACAGAGTCCATTAGATTGACCGGGTTTTTCTCACGGGCCAAGGCATCAAAATGGCGCTGCAGGGCTTCAAGGTACTTCACTTTGCTCTTTGTATCATTGGTAACATCTGTAATGCTGATGAAAATCAAGGAAAATAATGCAAACATAAAATATCGCCTGAGGGATATGTACAGAAAGACATACAGTAAATACTGTATTTATTTAAACTGAGACAGAAAGGGTTTGAGTTATTCCCACGCACAGATTAATTTAAAAGTAATACATTTTTAGCATACACAATACACGGTATTTATATGTGCGCTTAGAGCAGCTACAGAACATACATCCACTGTGAGATAGTCATTTCACTGCCTCCTATTCAACTCCAACTGTCTGCTCATGGCTTTCTGTTTAATCTCAAACTACTTCCAGTGGGGTCAATCGAGCTACTCTTTTTATAAATAAATCACAATATTTCAACCCAATACTACCCACATTCAAAGGTGACATGATCTGAATAATGGTATCCAAGTGTGAAAGACTGTAATTGACCACGAATTAGCCCTCTGGCTAGCATGTGGCCAACCATTATTAGCATTTATAAAGCAATATACTACGTTTGTTCATTCTGTTCACATAGCATTGTAGTCATTTGTTGTTAGAAAAAAAAACATCATAAATTCAGAGGCCTTTTTCAGTGACAGTTACTATGAATTTTGCAAACATCTATTAGAATTTGAAGTCACAGCACAGACCACCTTACAATCACTGCAGTTTTACACACTACAGAACAAATCTCTTGAACAAGGCTGTGTTCGTGTTTGTAAACAGCAGTAGAAATTGGAGTAAACCATTCTAGCGCCACACTGTCTCATGGAGTTCTCGGTGCTACCTTATGTCTACAGCTTTCCATTTTTTCAGCAGGCGAGATTTGGTGGAAATAAGAAGTCCAATGACTGTTTTACTCTCCTTCCCCCTAAGCTGCTCTGTGATCGACTCCAGGGTTCGCTGTCTCCTCCTCCATCGCTCAAGCTCAGTGAATGGGCTGGTGTTGATATCGAGGACCCTACAGCAAGCAACATAGCATTCATTTATGGTACACATTTCACGGCAGCATCCTTGTTATTTGCCATTTTAATCATTTCAGCCAACTTTGTACGCCAGAGGCGTTTTACAAATATGATGTATGTTATGATATTTACATAGTATCAAGCATCCCACTGAAACATTCCAAAACTTTATTTAATCACCTGTCATCTCCTCCTTCATGCAGGATGTGCTCGATTATTTTCATCCACTCAGAGACAAGAGCCTCATGCTCACCAATCACGTCAGAATCGAAAGCCGCTGATCTCTTTTGTGTGACATCAGGGCTCACCAACTTGGTTGGTTTCTTCAGTATCTAAAGAAGAGCAAAGGAGGTTTGATTCTGTTTCCATTGAGAACACTGGAGATGATTTAGAAGGGCCGCCTTCTTTGTGGAATATTTTACAGTATTTTCCACCCTTGTTCCCTTGTAATACAGGTGCTAAAGTTTTTTCACACCGGACATGCTGCCAAGATGAACTGGTGTTCCTAAAACGTCCCTAAGCTTGTGCATGTATTCATGTGCCCTCCAATGGACTTATGTCCAGGATGTTGTCTTGCCTTGAGTTATCTGTTTCCAGAATATGCTAGATTGCAGTGACTTTTACCAGAAATAAACAGATTTTTGACAATGGATGAATTAGAAATATAAATTCAATGGAAGGTGGTGTAACTACACAAAAGAGGTTTTACGCGTTTTAAAATTAAATTAGTTTAATTCTGCATGTTTAATTATATTTGTTAAGATACTGTCTTACTACAAGCCATAAACACTTTATTTTCAAAATATTACTGTATACAATCATCTTGTTCAGGTTTTAGCAATGGATTATGAATGAATGAAACAACGTCTCCTAATAGAAAGGAGTGACAGGGAAAAGTGAGCTTTTTAGGACAATAACAGGGATTGCTTTTCCTCTTCAGTGTAAAACAGTTGAGCTTTTTGGCATAATCAAACTATTTTCACGAGCATAATAATAACAAACTGGTAGATATCACATCTTCCCTCGGTTTCCAAAAGCTCTAAAAATACCTGTAGCATACGAAAAGTGACAGAAAACAGTAAGAAAAAGGCTAACATATCTCAAATAAAAGCCCAATGTGTACACTCTGGTGTGAAATTCAAAAGCGGATCTTCACATCAGGAGGTGTTGATCACACGTCTCGCTTGAGACACTTTACAGAGGGAGATGTGGACGATGGCGGTGAAAGGGGGCATTGGGCTCTTCCTGTGGAGACCTTGCAACCTCAGCTTTACCTGCTGCCTCTCCAGGCTGACGGCTCCAGCAGAGTCCTGCAGGGAAACCGCGTATCTGTCCAGCTCGGCCAGAAACTGAGCGACGTGTTCAGGGGGACAGCTGCCCCAGTGCTTCTGAACCCGCAGCAGAGGAGTGAACACCTCAGACAGCTGGGACCTCAGACTCCCAACAAGGCTGTCCCTCATCTGGCCACAGAAAATGTCTCTGGCCATGTGAACAGGATCCACTTCTCTGTCAGTCTGGGTTTGAAAGGGACATTTTAGTCATCTTTTCCATCTGTCATTGAACTTGTGTTGTGGGTGAGTCAACCTATTGTCGTGAATGAGCTCCCATTGCCTTTTTGTAGCTAGGAAATTTTAGTAAGGGCTTTTTCTCATGAGACAATAAGTCCTGCATTAACAAACAAATCAGAGGGTTTTCAGGTGGAGTTTTCAGGGTGATCTTTAAATCATGTTTATTCATAAATAAAGAGTATTGTACTAATGAAGGTGGCAGTAGCACCTAAGCATAAAAATATGTTTTTCATGTTGAACTGATACACTATATTGATACATTTTTGTGAGTTTTTTCTTAGTGCAAAACTTATTTTGTCTTATAATTTTATAACTTCAGTTCCAGAACCAAGTAAAGTGCCCCTGTTTCTAACTTAACTAATATTTGATCAAACCTTTTGAAAGGAGACAATATCAGGCCCCTACGGATGTTTTGCTGCAAGGAATTCAACTGACCTTCGTTGTCTTTGTAAGGCACAATGCCAAGTGAGATCTATCTTTAGACTGTTCAAGTAACTACCATGCATGAACACAGATAAATAACATTATCACTACTTCAGCTCACTCAAATACCTGATTAGTAAGCATTGGGCTTGAAAGCAAAAGTCTTTTCTTTATTGTATGATGAATATAAATATGTGTAACCAAACGCATTATTACTCTGTGCCTATGTAATTAGTGTAAGATGTCTTACACTTAAACTCTTGAAAATGTCTTCCACAATTGGACTTTATACCATACAATATACTGTACAACACTAAAGTAAGGCCTAATCATTCTTAATTCTTTATATTTCAAAGGCTAACACAACATGAGATTCTTCATCTGATGCTCTTTTAAATATTACATACAGGTAATTATATTTAAGATAAAATGTACAGTATAACATAAACCTATATACTGTACATGAAACGTATTCACAGTATTTTTCTTCTTTGAATTATGTGTTATTTAAGGAAACTAAATGTTATAAGGTGGTACCTTATTTTATGTCCAGTAAGAAAAACCACTGTGCATTTGTGTTATATCTTATGGGAGGAAGGTATGTCAGAAAAACAGTAATATTTACTTTATATTGGTTTACGTGAAACAAAAACAAAAACTCGCCTTATGTCGGAGGAAGTACAAAATGAGAGTGTGCTTAAGATCAATGTCATTTTCCAGGTTTTCTCCAATTTTCACGTCACACAACTGTAATCTTCCCTCTTGGCTGTTGAGATCTATGTAGAAAAACAGCTTGGAGAGCCCTTCGCCTGAATAAAACAGGATACAGATGGATGGTAACTTTGGCATATTACATTATCCATTCTGTAGCAGAAAAAAATCTACATCTTTCCGAAGCTCAGAAAGCAGTGATTCATTATCTTACGTTTAAAATGCTATTTCATGAATTACCGTGCAATACGTGTACAACTCTTTATTAGCTTATACTTTATCTTGTAATAGGAAAACTGTGGGTACTGTGTAACTGTAATCTGGTTATGTTCAATGAAAAAGTAACATACCCACAGATACAAAACTCCCTAGAGTATTACACAATGATATTTGCCAGTTTTTCTGTTTATATTTATTTATTTTAGCTTCAATAACACAATGTAATCATTTAAAATGTAAGTTATTCCTTCTGTTTTCTGCTTCCAGTTAATGTTAGTTTTTCCTGAAAGATTATATATATACACATTAAACATAAAAGTACAAACAAGTACAGAGACATTAATAATTAAGTCAATTAACAGCTGTCCAAATAAATATAATTTATGCTTAGTACGTATACTAATTTTACAGCTGTATGTTTCACCAGATCAACTTAAACAAAGGACTTTGAGTAGAAATACTGTATTGTGCTTGGAACTTGAACCTAGTTTTAGATCCAGAACTCTGCCCACTGCTCCCTGCCCCCTGTTGCAGATGACTGAATATCTAGAATCTCACATCTCCAGATCTGACTGTCATTGGCAATAGTTTGCTTTGAATCTGTATGAACCTTTTCACTATTATCTGTTCTTAAAAAACAGTTCTTTTTATTTGATGCTGATGTTTAAATCAACCAGGATTCTTGCAAGAATGTCATTAATTTTGTTCAGGTCTCCTTGTCACTGGATATATTTGTTTCCCAGCTGACCTCTTACCTGTTAAGAAAGCATTGACCAGTTCCAGATTATCAGGCTTCAGGAAGAACTCCTCCAGGTGTGTAGTGTTGTCTTTTTCCTCAATCTGGAACGTTTCCTGCAACTTAGTTGCAATCCACCAGTGTCGCTCATCCATTTCTTGTAAGCATTTACCTAGATTGTGTTACAGCTGAACAAGAAATTTTCATTTTCTCCTGACTAGCCAAGTCAGAGAACTTCTTCAGAACAACTGCTGTTGTCAAGGCCACAGTAAACAACAGCTTATCAATGCCTGCAGTGCTGATACATACAAAACTGGTTTTTCTGCAGTTCACCCACTGACTTGGATAGTTTTCTCAATGTGATGATGATAACATGTCTTTATAAGGTGGAAAGTGACTTTTTCACAGATTCTGTGAAATAAAAAAGTGTGCCCTATACTCAGTAATAAAGAGTTCCTAATTCAGAATTTCATACATTTAAGTTAAGGTAGATCATAACATTTTTATTTACTGTTTTATTGTTTAATTAAGTAATTACTGACTTAAAGAAATGTTTTCTAAATAAAAACTAGGTATCAAAAAGTGTATGTACAGGTTTATGTTTAGAATATGAAAACATATCCCAGAATTCAAAACATGTGGTAAGAAAAACCTGATATTTTGAAATAACCTAGAATGATATATTTACAGAAGAGAAAAATAGAGAGAAATAAAAAATAAGAAATTCAACACATAGACTGGCTTTACTGTACAGTATGTTTCTAGTGTTCACCAAAGTAATCTGTCAGAAGATAGTGTTGCCAAAGCTTTGTGAATTCAAACTGACCCAGCTGTCATGAATGAAAACGCTGACATGGTAACTAAGCACTTGGTTACTAAGCACAACAACCACGCAACAGGAAGCCTGCTTTTTTGCCAACGCCTACAGGGCACACTGTGCTGCCTGTGGTGTAATAAATCGATACTGCACTCCATGAGTGACAAAAGACTCTTAGATATAACAGAATGTTAAGTTTAGTCATTACAGCAAATTATATAGCAGAAAATGAATATATTTAGACATAAATAATCAAAAATAAATTACTTAAATTCTAAAGGTGAATGAAAAAATCCACTTCTGGTAAGATCATCATACAGGATGGTTTGAACCATCCTAATTCCCAGAATGCCACAGGGAATGTGCTGGTGTCCTCAGTCGCCTGACTGGTTCAGACAATTTGTCAGGTGACAATTTAAAAGGCAGGAAGTTGAGGCTTCCAGCTCAGTCTACAGTATATCAGTCCCTTTATGTGCTATCTGGGAGCAGTTCTCCAGGGTGAAGGAAAAAGGAACTATGGAACTTTGAAGTGCTTTTGAAAAGCGCATCAGACAAGTGAAGTCTGAGAGTTATTTGTTTTGAGGCTGGCAAGCAGATGAGCTGTTTAGCTACTTTTACCCACAGAATCACAACTTCAAGTAAGGAGCTCAACATGGAGCCTAGGTTTTTGTTTGGTTTGTTTTGAGTATTTTCCTCAAAACTGACAACAAAAGATTATTTTTTTCTTTACCTTATTGCTACTTTGTGGTTTTGGTTTTCCCTGACCTACCCATTGATGTCCTTATTGTATCGCCAAACACATCAGGGGGTGTCACAGATCCACCATTTCCACCAAATCACCAAATCTGTTCTCTATACTTAAGGACCTGTGCTAAGAGAGGACACAGAGCCGGAGCTCCTACGACACCACCAAGACTGACACAGAAGCCCAGATACTAGTCACAGCAGCTTCAGTCATTGCAAATGACACCAGCTCCACACAAACATTGCATATGAGACACATCAAGAACCCTAAATCAATAAATGCACAGTATGCTGCCTCCTTGGAGCTGAGGTGGCTGACACCATCCATAGAGCAGACAGACTTCTTACAAAGGCCCAGTTGTTGCTGTCCATATTGGGACAAATAATAAAACACATTCAGAGATCTAGAATACAAAAAGGAAGACTAGGACCAATCCAGTGGTCTTCTAATGGATCCTGCTTACAGCAAAAAAAAAAAAAACATTCATTTGTCACTACTACACATGACTGAGGACATGGTGTGTTGAAAAAGACTTCAGCTTCCTCAAGTCCCTGGAAACATTTAATGATGAACAGCATTTGTATACTGTATGGAAACTGTACAGTGGACCGCATGTGTCAACAGTTTGCTTAGCACAATGATTTACAGAGAAATTCAAAAACATTTAAAATAGAAAGTAAGTGGGAAAAAGCCTTAGAATCCCTGTCAGCAAGATATACACATTGAAGGACTACAGTAAGTTAAGTGGTTACTCCTAAATTGTAATAGTATTAGGAGTTTAATACAAGGGACAGAAGCTATTACCTTAGCAGGTGAATATTATGTACAGTAATTGCAATTAAAGATACATCACTGTTGGAGAATAAGAATGTAAATAGTGAAATAAATACTCCAGAGAGACAGTAAAGATGAAAGAGGGTGAGAAGCAGCACTATATATCACGAAAAGCATTCAGACTCAAGAAGGTAACCTGGATAAATCACAAGTTTCATAAACTATATGGGTCAACCTTAGAAGAAAAACATACAAAAGGCACAGATACAACTTTAAAAAAATAAATTTAGACATAAATAATAATTCAACCTCGGAACATTTGTGTAAAAGAAGAAGTGATTTTCATGGGAGACTTTAATTTACTTTAGAGGAAAGCCAATAGGAATGTCCACAACGGAAGCTGAAATGGTAAACATGGAAAAGGACGCTGTTAGCTCACTTTGTCACAGCACATACTGGAGGAAATGCCTGGATTGATTTACAGTAGCTGGAGTAAAGGAAACACTCATGAGAAAATCATTAGGGAACAGTGGTCATAACATAGAATGCTTTCACGTATATTTTGTAACAGTGCTGGTGTAGTCCAAAATAAAGGTTTAAAATATCAGGAATGCTGAAAATGAAGGAAAGAGACGGAGTTTAAGAAAAGTACATTGTGATAGGGTTGATATGGATCAGTAGAGAATGGATGATACCATTTCTGCAATATGAAGCGCAGAACAGATTCACCCCTGTAGCTTTTCAAGTACAAAAACAACAGTGGCACAAACGGATTAAAACAAATGAGTAGTTTAATTAAAAGGTTAGGTTCCTCCATCCTGTCAATGGCAGACAGCTCCCCCAGAATTTATGTGATTCTCTTCTCTGAATGGTTTTCAAAGCAGCAATATCTTTAGAACTGGGTGACCAAGATTTTGCACAACATTCTAAATGAGGCCTTACTAGTCCATTATACAGTTTTAACATAAAACCCATTTGATTTAAATTCTACGGCATACTTTAAAATTGTATATCACAGCAATTTTGCTTTCCTTTTTAATTGCTTCCCTGTGTTGTTTAGAGCTATGTGAGCTGCAGCCCCTCCTATCCTTCCCATTACTGAATTTTATTACAACCTTGTCCATGAATTTTTTAAATGACAATTAACAAGATCAATGCAGCAATTAAAAAAGCTATCTGCATCAGAGCACTACAACAGAACAGAGAGACTCTTGGTTGAGTAGCCTTTTTTTGTAGATATTCTGAGGAAAAAATAAAAAAGCAAACAGTGTTAGGATATTTACTTAAAGTACAGAATTTAAATCAAGGGATGTTTGTGAAAACTGGTAAAAGCTCTTTTAGAATAAAATTGTATACAATTTGGGTCATATATGCATCAAACTATTGCTGCTCTGCAATCTGTTCAGTGAGGAGCGACCAGATACGTTTTTTGGCTCAGACGCAAGTCCTACGCAGGATGAAACAATGGGGCCTTTTCAGTCTTGAACAAAGAAGACCATGAGTGGACATGATTCAAGTACTTACCATCCTCAAGGAAACTGACGAGGTCAGCCCAATGAGCTTCTTCAAAATCAAACAGGAAACACAAAATAGAGGACACAACTGGAAGAAAACGACATTAAACTGTTAACAGGAGGCCTTTATCACACAAATAAGAGTTCCGGGAATATTGAACAAGCTACTCCGTCGTGTTCCTAAAGACGATACTCTGGGTTCTTCCAAAAAATGGCTGGATGTGGTTTTTGCATCAATGAAAGTACTAGTTACCAAAATGGCTAAATGAGCTAAATGACTTCTTTTCACTTGTAACTGTTCTTATATTTTTAGGTAGTGAAAAGTAATGTGTATTGACCCATGTAGAGGCTGGGTTGCAATGTAACATTTATTTAATTAACATGCTGCCATGCACACTTTCAAACAGATCTGGTGGTCTTCATTTTAACTGAAAGAAACAAAGTTGGGCCAAAACCCCCATATACACCTAGAAGTAATTTTCTTCAAATACATATCCAAGTACATTACAAAATTAATAGTTTTTCCCTTTCCTTAAATGCATTTTATTTAGACAATGTAAAATGGAGCAAACGTTCTTCTGGAGCGAAGGATGTTGAGAACTGATGTTTTGGTGTTGAATATATACTTCAACAGGACCTCAACACACCATAAATGTTCACATAAAGGTATTTATGCATAGAATTTTAATCATACACATTTCCCTCGGCATTGTAGACACCGCCGTTTTTGACAGACCCATAACTATATTACAATCAAATAACTAGCATTAATTTTGAGTTTAGAATGTAATTTATATATTTATGTTATTATAATGGTACTTGTTCCAGCATCCAGATACATATACTTCTTCTAAATTGACATCAGTGTTATTTAGAGACACTGGTGATGAAGTGCTACTTACCCACACCAGAGCAAACAAAACTATAAACTGTGTGCTGCCTTCACCTACTGTCCAGTCAACTGGAAAATACTCACCATAACATATCCTATCAGGTAAAAAGCCCACCAATATATAATTAAGCTCTTAGGTTAACAATGTAACCCTAACCCATATGTAGAAGCAGGGTTTTCTTCCTTGCTGCTATTAATCTGGTGCACTATCTACTGGTTAACGGTGCTCTACCGGACTGTCAGCCGGAGGGCCCGTTTTACATTTCTGTAAA